AGGAAATGACGTAAATTCAGTTAAATCTTTTAAATTTTCAAAAATTTTAAAATCGAGAAAATAGTTTTGTTTCGTATATATAGGACCATTAAAAATCGAACTACAATAACTGCTTAGTAATAGAATTACCTTCCGGATTGAGTAAATTTATTCACCGATACTTCGTCGAAGCAAAAAGTTGCAGACAATAGTAAATGCTTAAGAGTTAGGAATTTGTAAATGAAAGATCGGTTTTAGTCAAAATGATAATGCGATGACGTTTTATGACTAAGTCACAGGAGTGTATGTTATTACATTCCTCAACAATTATAACTGTCTCAAAATAAAAATAATAATCCAGTCGAAGCTCGAGCCATTGTTCCCGCATCTTTCGTTTTCTAATATGTATCATCTTGTTTACTGGTCCAGTTATGAATTTATCTGTTGTTTTAAAATTGGCATTTTAGACCAAGGTAAACACTATTTTTGAACAATGCATAAACTGTTAATGTGTTCCTTACCCAATTATAATGCGAAAAACTCTTGATTTCGCCTTTTAAATTAGGAAAACAGTTAATCCACAGGTTGCCTATAAAATGTGCTTATTAACGGCTTTGGAACTTCAGAGGTAGTGTTTATGATTACATTTTTCAAGAATTATAACTACCTAAAAAAAACGCAATTTGTAATTTTTGAATTTTTTTCTTACAAATATCTATTGGTTTAATAGCCTCATTTAAGTCTTGCGTAAACGTGTTCACTTTACGTTTATTCTGTAAATTCAAAAACTTATCCCTTTGAAGCAAAAATTTTGTTATACATATTTTTCAAACTTTTTTTTCATTTTTTTGTATTAACTTAGATCAATATAAATGAAAAATATTATATTTAACATTTTAATAATTTTATGGTTAGGAAATACAGCATGGAACACCGGTGTATTTTACTGCGTTAAAGATAAAATTTTACAAATAGTAATTTTTTTTAATTTTGCGTTTATTTGCAGTTATATAGATCTAAGCGAAAGCGTTATTAATCATTAAAATCTCTTAAATTTACAAAATCTAACACTGATAAAATTTTGATAATAATTGAAATAAAAAATTTCAGACAACTTCTTTTATCAAAATGCTGGCGTAAAATACCCTCAGAGGTGGACGAATCATGTGTTAGAGTCCCCTTACCTTCAAGCTAACCGTGGGAGGTTTCCGCGGGTTTACTCTCTGTGTAATGCAAATGCTGGTTAGTTACATCAAAATTCCTTCACGAAGGCAAATTTCTCTCAATACTTGATCCAGGAATTCACTTGTCTTCTGTATTGGGTTCAAAATTATAAGGCAACAGAGTTGAACATTGATAGTCGTAAACCCGAAATTAGGTTGGCTGTTCAACGACAGCTATATATATAAAAGAACTACCTCTTTTGGATTTTATATTTCAATACAAATATAATTCCGAAAATCTTAGATTTTTTTAAAAACTATTGTGTTTTTATAATTAAAAAATAGCAAAATACATTTTGCATGTAATTAGACTGACAGAAAAATGTATAAAAAGAGACATGGCGTCCCATTTGAGTTAAAAGGTTAAACAAGCCGAGATTACATCGGCACATTGGAATTCTCACTTCAACAAAATGTGAACTATCTTCCAGCTAAATGATTCAATCTTCAAAATCATTCTCCCCCATCACATTTCATCGAACTAAATTCATTCACAGCCTAACATTATTATTGAAATAATTTACACTTGAATTAATCAGGTATTAATCGCAAAACGACTAGCTCTTTCACAATCGGAATTTATCATTGTTAACAAATAATGTAAAGTGAATGAGACTTTCAACAAAGGTCAGAGAAAGAGTCATGAATTTACTCCTCGCCTTATCTCGTATAAATGTTAATGTTGGATAATTAATTGTTTCTGCTTTCAATCAATCTTTGGAGGAAATGTATTCCTGTATTATTATACATGATATGCTTAATCTTTTATGAAGCATATGAGATTTTAGGTGACCATTGTTTTCGATTCTGGAAATGAAAGGTTGTGTATATGAAATGAGTCATGTATATTGTATATTGTCCGTAATAAAATTAGTTCTGGTTTCTTGCTTTGAAGACGTAGAGTGACCTAAATGTAACAAATGTTTGGAAGCGTGTTGCATAGAACTACTGGATCAAAAATATTAAAAATTAGAATGTGAAAAATTTGGCAACATTTTGATTGTAAACGTAGTTGCAGAGATATGCAAATAAACAGTGTTTCAGAAATAATGTGACAAACAATATAACATAGTTGCAGAAACAATATAACAAGCAATATAACATTGTGTCAGAAATATTGTAGCAAATAATATAACATAGATGCAGAAACAATATAACAAACAGCATAAGTTTGTTTCAGAAATATTGTAACAAATAATATAACATTGTTGCAGAAACAATATAACAAACAATATAACATTGTTATAACATTAATTGTAAGCGTTGTTGCAGAAATATGCAAATGAACATTGTTTCTGAAATATTGTACCAAATAATATAACATTGTTTCAGAAATATTGTAACAAATAATATAACATTGTTGCAGAACCAATATAACAAACAATATTACATTGTTTCAGAAATATTTTGCAAATAATATAATATTGTTGCAGATACAATATAGCAAACAATATAACATTGTTGCAAAAGCAATATAACAAACAATATTACATTGTTTCAGAAATATTTTTACAAATAATATAACATTGTTGCATAAACAATGTAACATTGTTACATAAACAATAAAACATTGTTGCTGAAATATGAATAGAGAGTATCCTAAATTTCAACAGAATGAGATGATCGAAGATTTTAAAAAATAGAGAATATTTAAAATGAAAAAATAGAGAGGCACCTTCAACCCTAAATAATTAGAGCACTCTAAACTTCAAATTATATAGAAGGATAACATATAATCAAGATAGCTTGGTATCAAGGTAACATGTGCTGCAGATTACGTGAAAACAAAGTAACACTTAATCACAATAATATGTGAACATGAATATTTGTAACCAATGTTACAGATAGTAAATACAAAAATATGGATCAAATTCTCTAGCATTCATAGTTACAAAATTATATTGTCTGTATATTTGATATTATTTTTGAAATACTTGTTTATTATTATGTAATCATTCTTTGCAGTTTATTAAAGTAGTATATTTGTGATCGAAAGTCAGCTTTGACTTAAACATTCTAATGGTGTTGGTCAAATAAACGATTGATATAACTGTAGCGCTACTAAATATCTGATCTAGTGTAAAATACTAACGTGTAATCAAGATAACATGTAATCATGATTATTTGTAATCAAAATAGCATGCGATCATGTTTACTCTTAACCAGGATAACACATCATGATTATTTGAAGTTGTAGAACTTACGCTTATCGTATTTAAGATAACCTATGTAATTATCATTACTAGCAATATATATATAATCATCATTACTTATTGTATACATGTTAACATTACGATTTTAAAAATTGTTGTAGAATTTTATTTTATAGGTATACGATTATCATTTTTAAAACAATACAATCATTATTTGTAATTTATTAAAGTTCTACTTTTTTTAATTGAAGCCCAATCAACTCTGTTTATGACTTTCCTAACGGTATTCATCAAACTATAATCATCATTCTAGAGCTGCAAAAGATCTAATCTATTGTTAAGAATGCTTGTTATCAAACTGTAATAATAATTACTAGTTTTAAAGAAAGCATATTCTTCACTATTTGTATTATTCCTGCCATTAAACTTTGCATTCAGTATAATAAATACTCAGTATAATAATTACTAGATAAATACTGCCATTAAACTTTACCTTCAATATATAAAACTCTGTTTATAACTTCCTAACGGAGTTCAACAAACTATAGTCCTCATTCCTGAGCTGCTAAAGATTATATTGTTAAGAATGCTGTTATTGTTAAGAATGCTTATATTCAAGATGTAAATCATAATTACTAGTTTTAAAGAAAACATACTCTTCACTATTTGTATTATTCTTGCCATTAAACTTTGCATTCAGTATAATAAATACTCAGTATAATAATTACCAAATAAATAGTGTCATTAAACTTTACCTTCAATATACAGGGTGTCCCAAAAGGTCGTTTACAAACTTAAAATGCTGGTCTGTCACATCATGATGAACAAGATTTACATAGGAACTTGTGTCCGAAAATTAAAACTGCGACCGCTAGAGGGCGATAATTGCACGAAAACGGGAGAGTGGGAAAAACAACCATTTCAGGCGTGGACGTTGAAGGAGAAGGATGAATGAGTTTAGTAACACAGAAATGGCCGACATGCATTACGTATACGGCGCCGCTGATGGAAATGGACGAGCCGCTGCACGGACGTACCTTGAGCGCTTCCCAAACAGACGTCAGCCAAGTCATGTTTCGTTTGGACGATTGCACCGCAGATTATGTAAATCAGGTGCTTTCGTAGCACGTAGCCACAGCAGTCGAGAACGTTCTATACGCACACCTGTCGTAGAGGAAACCGTGCTACAGGAGTATGCCATCAACCCGCAAAGAAGTCTCCGAGAAGGCGAACGTGTCTTGGGTGTAGCTCGTTCCACCATAATGCGTATACTGCACGATGTTATGCAACACCCTTACCACTTCCAAAAAGTACAGGCATTGTGCGCTGATGATTATCCCAAACGCATTGCATTCTCACGCTGGTATTTGCAACAGCGGGTCGCACAGCCAGATTTTTCCATCATAAATTTTGTTTTCTGATGAATCCTGCTTTAAACGGGATGGTGTCGTGAACCTGTTCAACATGCACGTATGGGCGTATGAAAACCCAAGATGTACACGTACCCATGCACATCAACAACGTTTCAGCGTAAACGTTTGGGCTGGTATTACCGGTGACATGTTGATTGGCACTTACCTTCTACCTGAACGTCTCGACGGAAATACCTATCGCATTTCTTTTAGAAAGAGTTTTGCCGGATCTGATGGGTGACGTTCCAGCCGCTACACGCCGAAACATCTGGTTTCAGCATGATGGAGCGCCTGCCCACTTTAGCTACGCTGTTCGAGAATACCTCGATAGGATTTATCCTAATCGCTGGATCGGTAGAGGCGGACCAGTCCCATGGCCGCCGCGATCCCCCGACCTGACTCCCCTGGATTTCTACCTGTGGGGACACATGAAGTCCATAGTGTACGAGACACCTGTAACATCGGACATGGATCTTATCGCCAGGATCGCGGAAGCGGCAGCACGTGTCCGTGACACTCCTGGCCAATTTGAACGGGTTCGTGAATCCATGCGCCGACGCTGTGAAACGTGCATTGTGGCGAATGGAAGGAATTTTGAGCATTTGCTGTGATGTAATGATGTTTTATAATAAAAATCATATTAACACCGCTATCGATATCATTTTTTTCCTCCTCATCCAAACCTGCACTTATCGCCCTCTAGCGGTCTCAGTTTTAATTTTCGGACACAAGTTCCTATGTAAATCTTGTTCATCATGATATGACAGACCAGCATGTTAAGTTTGTAAACGACCTTTTGGGACACCCTGTATAAAAGTCTGTTTATAACTTCCTAACGGTGTTCAACAAACTATAGTCCTTATTCCAGAGCTGCTAAAGATTATATTGTTAAGAATGCTTGTAATCAAGAAGTAAATCGTGATTCTCAGTTTTAAGGAAAACATACTCTTCACTATTTGTTTTTTTCTTGCTATTAAACATTACAATCAGTATAATAAATAGCGTTCTCAATATACTAACAAACCATTTCTAAAATACAAATTAAAGAAAAAATTTCCAACAATATAATAGCACATGCATGAATACCGGCTGTTATGAAAAATTACCGACAATTTGAAAATTAACTGAGGAAAAATTTACAGTACATTTATTGCTGCATTTTGCTTAGGAAACTAATGTTTCCTTCTTAACCAAGTTTCAAAAATAGTTACAAAGCTCCACAGATCACGCTTTTGATTAGAAACACTGTAGAAAAATGCCAGACCATTAGAATTTATGTATTTGCATGAACATTTGTTAAATTTTGTTCGTCAACTTCGCCACAATCGTACAGAATTTAGTGGCTTTGTAAAACAGTGTTTTATTGTTTTTCGCAGTTCGTATCAGCATCTGTTAACAAATGCAATAAATGATCAACTGTAGCAAATGACTCCTCAAACAGAACATCGCCATACCTAGTAAAATTTGAATCTATGTCCTTATTTTTTTTAAATACCTTATAATATAAATTTAATGATTTCTACAATTTAATAGGGTTATTTTTTTAAAAATTCATTTAATTTTCATTCTCGTTAATTTCATCCAAAAAAAGGGGATTCGAATATGAGTTTATATGAAATATATTTTTAAAATGTATACAAGCCATAATAGTAGAAAAAAATCGTTTTCTCAGCAACCACTAAATCCGCTCCTAGAAATGTTCTTTCAATTCTTTTTAGCCACTATTAAAAAAAGAGGGGGTGGAAAATAAAAAGGGTACAAATATCTAGAATGAACCAATTTTAAAACAGTTATTTATGATTTATTTTTAAGAAAAAACTTTGTTTGAAAACTAAAACTGAATTCCCATGAGACTGCTTTTTGTTCCAATAAAGTATTTTATCATATTATTCTCAGTTGAGCGTTTAAGTCCTTAAATAAATAGAAAAATATCCATTTCTTCCATTTTTTTCGAGCAAACATCAAAAGAAATCTTTAATGACTTTATTTTTATATTGATTTTGGGCTAAAAGAAATTAAGTAAATAAATAAAATAAAACTTCCTAAATTAAAAATAAACTTTCTGAAAAAAATGTTTTTTTTTATTGAATCAATTTACTCAAATAATGTTTAACAAACTATTCTAATGATCTATCATATCATGATTTTTACAGTGTGATGGCATGGAATTTCCGTTTCAATCTTCTTATAAGGTAAGGGAAAACAGCAAGGTAAAATGGAAACATTATTAACCCCTTAACGCACAGAATTTTTGAAAAAAAAACCGGCTAAAAAAAAAATCAATTTTTTTATGTAAAAAAACACACTTTAGAACATTGTCTTGTTTTGGTGGGCAATTTTGATGTACTGCACTTTTGTTCCATGGAAAAAGGCTATATTCAGCAATGCCGACTGCTCCGAACACGTCAAAATAATTTTAAAAAAACGGTAAAAAACTATAAAGTAAATTTTACAAATATTTGACTATTTTTGCTTACTTTTTTAAAGGTATAGCATGACATAAGTACTTTTTACTTACTTTATTTATAAAAAAATTGGGCACCTGGGCCACGCAACGGCCCCTATTCCATAAATCTAGAAATTTACATACGTTTAAAGTGATAACATTTTGAATTTAGCAGTCGATGTGGTTGCTAATACAAAATTACAAGCACTTTGCTTGGGTAAATAAACATTTGAATATCGAAACTAAAATTACACATATAAATATAAACATATAAATATAAACATAATTTGAAATATATATACACAGATTGACATAGATAAATATAGATATATCATTTGAATATCGAATCTAAATTGACATCTGTTGACATATATAAATATAAACGTAAATTGTAATATATATACATAGGTTGACATAAATAAGTATTAACAGAAATTGATACATATTAAATTTTTACATTTAACTAGCACATGTTTAATTAAGATATATATTGAAAGTCTAGAATTCAGAGTTCAATGTTTAAATGATGACATAAGTACTATAAAGTGGTGAATTACATAAGCCTACGAATTATTTAGAAATAGTGGTGAATGAAAATCTACTAAATTGAATTTATTAAACCAAGAATCACAATAGATAAATTACCACTTTAAAATATATATTTGCTGTCCGGAACAAGTTGGTATCTCTCAATATTTTATGCTTGAATAAATAAGCGTTATAGCTTACAATCCTATGTAAATGATAAATATCAATAAAACGATTTTTTTTCCTTAGCTTTCACATTGTAATTTTCAATTCTCGATTATATTCGAGTGTGAAAAATTATAGCAGCATAAGATACAACTCCACTCGAATTATCTCGTGTGTGCACAGTTTGACCTGCTTAGCGAGCTCGAATTAACTCGAGCGCACAAGTCAAGGTGTTAATCATTAAAAGTCAGATACAAATGCGGTTACTTTTTAATACAAACGCTGCGCAGAAGAAAAAAATTATCATAAAGAAAAAATAACCTTTTCCTGATTCATTTTAAAAGTCTGACTGTTTGTTTTTAAATGATACGACCTATAACAAAGTGAAACTCCAATGATTATTCCTATTTTGTTTTTCGTTTCGTCAGACTTAGTTCATTGCACCATGTGATTTTGAATACACATTATCGTAAGAGTATAAGTTATCCCGTATCAGTTTCAATAAGTGTAAATTTGGCAGAGTACAGATATTTTTTTAGTTTTGTGCTTATTATACTTACTTATTTAATCTCTTCATGCCGCATGGAGCATTTAGTCATCCAGCCTACTTCTCAATGCTCCCCAGTATTTGGCTTGGAATCTGGCTTCCTTTAAATTTTGCCTTCTCAAAACCAACCTGCATTTATCTTTACCAAAAGTTTTTGGTCTTCCTCATCTTTAATTGCCATCAGGAGCCTAGAAAAAAAGAATGTGTTAATTTTTCTCCTATCATGCTTAGTGCACGTTCCATTTCTTTGAATTTTTTCTTGTCGATTTCTTCTTCTATTGCATTGAGGTTTGCTCTTTCAATACTGTTCCATTTATATTTTAACAGAAATATTGCAGAATTTTGAGAGAAATTTTAATTAATGTTTTAAAAATCTTCACTAAGTAATTTCCATCTACATTTTGAAGATTTTGTATGACTTCATAAAGAACCAAATGATAGAATTGATCTGAATATTATTGAATAAATAATTATTTTTCTGTATTAAATGCTCGTTGCAGAATTTCCGCTAGGCTTGTTATATTATACTTACCACATTAAATCCAATATTTCTTTCAAAAAACGGACCGCTAATGATGTCAAAGCTGTTTTATCCTTGTTTTAAGGCTTCTCGGAAGCTTTGGCTACCACGAGACTAATTAGGATACCTTCTCTTTCATGATGAAGGTCAGTGGTGATACGAGATGGACAATTAGGCCCTTCCGAAGATCATCAGTGATTTGGAAGTTTGTGGCTTGATCCGGACTAATAACAGTTCCTTCTTTATAGTGAAGTACATGAGATGGTTCAAAAGCTGTTTGTCTGAACCGTTTTGGTCTCTTCAGTCTGGAAGAGTTTGAAAACGCAGTGCACACATATCTCACATTTCTAACGAAGAAACCAATTGAGTTTCTCTGGTTCGTAAAAAGTTGAAGGATTACAGACCATGGAAATGTTCAAACCCCTCTTAAATCACTGAAGACTACTTTTTTTAAAAGCATTGAAAGAGTAAAAGAAAAAATACTACATATTTTTATCCGCATAATGTTAAAGTATTAGTTTGGATAAAATTAACTGTGAAATAAAAATTTAAAATTATTTTAAGAGAAAATTAATAAAACTACTACACGTTAAAATAAATTGTCATTTACCCAAAGTGCCTAGCAGTAGGTAGACGATTAAACAGCACTAGAAACTTTAAATTTCTTGCATCTAATCAAAGTTAACTTTTCCAAGAACAGTTTTGTATTTTAGGTTAACTAGCTGAACACCCGTTCTATGTAAAAATTAGGAAAAAGTAAATGGTCAATATTTCAAAATTTATCAACACCACAAAACTGAAGGACATGTATCGACGAAATTAGTTACGTCAAAAACATATCCATTATTTTTAATTTATTAGTATTTGTTGTCTTTCCCGGTGTCTTTACGTTATTAGATTAAGCAAAATATGTCTTTAAAAATTCATTCTGTCAAAATAAAGTGTACCTATATTCAATATCATTCGCACATACATCAAAACATTTTGCTTTATTTATATAGATTGAACCGAAAAAGAACTTCATTATTTCTCCATTATTCTAAAAAACAGGCTTAATCTTCCATCTTTCTTTTATGCATTCCCAGATGCACAATATTTATCTGTTATTACTGTCTGATTTACATTTCACATAATTGCAACTAAAGCTTCTCACACAAAACCTTCAACATGACGGTAAATGTGGTTACCGCATCTTTGAAAATTTGATTAAAAATAAGAATTTTATCTTGAAAGTTAAAAATATGTAGATCCATAACAAGAATTAAAAAATTTTCAATCACAGTGAAATGAAATTAAAATACGGTTAAATCTCGACATCAACCCATCTTCAATATTACAAATTTTTCAACATAATGAATTTCTGTAGTACGAAAATACGTGTTCCCCCACAAAAGCAAATAAAAAA